TTTTTCTCTTTTAGTATTTTGAATATACCATCCCATTCTCTTCTGGCCTATACAGTTTCTGTTGAGAAGTCTGCTGTTAGTCTGATGGGGACTCCCTTACAGGTGACTTGATGCTTCTCTCTTGCTGTGTTTAGGATTCTCTGTTTGTCTTTGAGTTTTACCAGTTTTAGTATAATGTGTCTCAGAGAGGACCTTTTTGGATTGATCTGTTTAAGCCTCCTTAATATGAAGGCCCATGTTTCTCTCTATAACTGAGAAATTTTCTGCTATTATTTTGTTAAGTAGATTTTCAGTGCCTTTTTCTTTCTCCTCTCCTTCCAGAACATCTATGTTTCAGATGTTTGTGTGCTTGAGGTTGTCTGCTATCTCTCGTAGATTTTTTCTTTTCTTTCTTTCTTTTATTTATTTATTTGTTTTTTTGTCCACTTGAGTTATTTCAAAAAGACTATCTTCAAGATCAGAAATTTTTTCTTCTGCTTGCTCTAGTCTGCTTCTTAAGCTATTGGTTGTGTTTTTTATTCTGATGAATGACTCCTTCAGTTCCAGGAGTTCTGCTACATTCTTTTTTAAAGTATTAATCTCTTCATAAATTTTCTCCTTCAGATCCTGGATAGTTTTGCTCAGTTCGTTGTTTCATGTAACTGCATCTTTTTCTATATCGAGTTTCCTTAAGACTTTTACTCGGAATTTCCTTTTAGTCATTGCAAGTATTTCCTGTTCTATGGGGTCTGATACTTGAGAGTTATTGTATTGCTTTGGTGGGTTCATCTTTTCTTATTTATTTATTTATTTTTTTTGTATTTCTAGTATCTCTACATTGATGTCTGGTCATGTGGTAGAGCAGTTGCTTCTTCTGTTACTTTGGAGTGGGCTTTGAGGAGAGAGACTTTCTCCTGTAGATGTGTTTTATATTAACCATTGAGTAGAATGTTTTACCATTTGTTCTGGATAGACACAGTAGTGTAGTCTCTGTGTGGGTACCTAGGCTGTATTCAATGGAGTTATGTGAGTGCTTCTGTTGCCTAGGCACTAGGGCACTTAGTGATTCCTTGCTGAGACTAGTGACACTTTTTCCCTGGGCTCCTCTATTAACTCTCCTTTGTCGATGCAATTGAGAGGTCTGTGGGCCTCCTATTTAGCAGTGGTGGCTGCTGCTGTGGTGGTAAGCCATCCTTGTGGTGAAAGTGGCTGTGGGGGTGGCTGTTATGTACTTCCCATGTGGCAGTGGTGTCTGCAGCAGTGGCAGGGGCTGCCCACAGCTTCTCAGGTCCCTGCATGTGCTCCTTGCCTTCTGCCAGTTTGCTGGGGGGCTGCTTGCCAGCCACTAAGAACTATTTTTTTGGAGCAATTTTACGTTCATAGCATAACTAAGTGTTAAGTACAGAGATTTCCATATAAACCCTGTCCCCCCACACACATAACCTCCCCCCACAGCAATATTTTCGAAGAAGTAACTAGCCTTAATTAATTAAGCTTTTTGAATTGCAATAATTTATTTACCCTTTATTTATATTTTTATTCTTTCATGATCCACTTGGATAATTTTTTCTAGTCTCATGGATTATAAACATATCATACTTATTTTTAATTTTATTTGCATTTAAGGATAAAAACTTCTGAATAATACCTTGACAACTCTTAAGGACATTTAGTATTTAATCCTCTCATTTTCTGATATTTAGGTTATAATTCCAGATGTGATTTGTTTTTTAATTCAAGATGTCATTGGAATGCCTTTAAATTCATGTTTGGATAGATTTTGTAACTGTTTTGTTTTGTTTTTAATTTCAAATGCATTGCATATCTATCAGTGAATGTAGCTTATTATTAAATTTCATCTCTGGGGAATTTGGCACAGTGTTTGCAAGATGTGAGTTAATTCTGGCCTCAGGTGCAGAAGAGAAAGATGAGGAACTTCATTGACTCTATTTTCTCAAGCACGGGCACCTTTAGTACATAGAGTTATACATAGACTCAAACCATGAGCAAAACCAACCAGATAGTCAGGGATGCCACAAACATATTTTGAGTCAATGAATTTCTCCTGTAAATAGTGAACAGAGTGTTGAAAATGTTTATATAGTTTATATTTAATATGGAGGACATATCAGATAACACTAGCCAAAGTCCAGTTTTAAGCTAAACTACAGTTTAGAATTTAAAATAATAACCCCTCATACTCTGCTCTCCAATCCTAGCTCTGTATAACTTGGCTGCAGAGCAAGTTTCATCAGAGGGAAAGCACTGTCTTTCCTTAGCAGTGAAAGCCCTGGTGGGCACAGTAGGGGAACAGTAAGATCAGTTATGAACAAGCCAGGGAAGGTTGTTGTAAACAGGGGTGACCTTTATATTTGAAATACATTAAAATCACCAGTAAAATTAAAATGATGATAGTCTTAACATTATATTTAATGGGCGAATGGACGTTTTAAAAAGATATATGCTAAGCGTCTAGCCTTTCCACTCAACCGCTTCAAAACCCAAGGACATTTGTTGGCAGCTCATCTTCCTCTTTCATTTTCACCATGTCATTCCCCTGCTTTAACAGGAGAGTGCTCCTTTGTTTGTTTGTTTTTTTCATTCTTTTTATTTTTAACCTTTATGATTCTGAGTCTCAACTCCTCTACCTGTCTTTCAAAACCTCCCATAAATTGAGCTGACTCTTAATTTATTTCTTATTTATTTCCTAATACCACAGCTCAACTCCTAGCACACCAGTGTCTGCATGATCTGTGCTGAAATGCCTCACATATTTTCATTCCTGAAATTTCTACTTTATTTCCAGTCTGAATGCCTTTGCCTGTCTCCTCTGCCTTTGAATGTCCTCCATCATTCCTTGAGATCCAGCTCAAGTTCAACCACCTCACCAGTGAGAACCTTCTGGGCAGCACCTCTTCCTTCCCTCTCCATCACTCTCCAATGACACTTATAGAAATTAGCTCTTCACAGTGGATCGATCGTCTTTTAGTAATGTTTCATAAATGTTATTCTGTTCTCCTCATTGTAAGTAGCTCAAGAACAGGGATTACTACTTTAACTTCTGCTTCCCCTAAGAAAGCCCCACAATAATTTACATTACACACAGTAGGTACCGTTCAGTACAATATGCTGGTTAGAGGCCAGTTAAGTCAACTCAGCAGTTGACGCTTCTCCACTTTACAGATCAAGAAATTGACACTCAGTAGGAGTAAATATCCCAAACCATCAGCTTCAAGCCCTACACAAGTAAAAACTCTTACCAGTTTTCAGAGGAGTCTTCTTTCCCATTAGGTGAGTTATTTCAAAATCTGACAAAGCATTTCTTTGTTGGAAAACTTAAGAAAACCACTGGAAAGTGTTAAGGATTTTACTGTATGGGTAATCTTTTCTGTAATGTTAGTTTTAGAGCCACCAAAAATCTGACTGACAATAACTGTGTGGCTCTAGACCTTTTTTTTGTCATTTCATTCTTCCACCAATTACAGGAATTGGGTATCTTTGTTTGAATAATTGGCCATCTCGTTAGTTTTAGAGCCACCAAAAATCTGACTGACAATAACTGTGTGGCTCTAGACCTTTTTTTGTCATTTCATTCTTCCACCAATTACAGGAATTGGGTATCTTTGTTTTAATAATTGGTCATCTAGTCACATGCTTTTTACACAGTTAGAAGGGTATCATCTCCTTTGAAATAAAGTAGGTATAAAAAGAGAACACGAGGCTCAGAATTTTAGATTCCCATATGTAATTTGTAGCACATGATTAAGGACCTTTCATGAAGCAGGCGTTGTTATTGCTAAATAAATATGAAAGTAAAAGAAATAACATCAAGCTTTGGAGGAAAAAAACATTTTATGTGTGAATAGGCATATAACAGATTCTCGATGAAATGGCAGAGTTTTACTGCCACACATATCCACATATAGTAATTTCTGCATTAAAATTTATAGGATTTGCATGTAAATGTTTTTTGGTAGGATTTGTATGTAAATTTTTTACTGGTTCTCATCTAGACCTGAGCAGTAATTTGCTGTGCAGAGCTCTACAAAGATACCCGACTTCCAATAATATTGCAGGGGTATTCAGTGCTTTGGTAGGATCTCAATGAAGAAAGTAGCAAATTAGTTAAGAGAGGAAGATGAATTAGAAAAGATATGAAAATTTTTGTTAGTTATTATCACTCTATTTTGCTTTGAGGGAATTAATACACTAATATCATTAAGGCAAAATACATCAAGATTAACAAATGATGTTATGATTATTAAATTATGTGACATCAAGCATTATAATTTCTACATCTTAGCAGAGGTATAAGTAGCAAATGTTTAAGAGCTAAAATGTCACAATTATATTGATGTTGACATAGATCCCTTTTGAGAAACCTGTGATCTGTACATGTCTGAACTGAATGCAGAAACAAAGGAAATTAGATGCACGCCCTTCATGAAATCAAGAATTGCTTTTTTGTGAAAAGAACTCTTGTATACTGCAGAATATAAATCAGGTTGAAATGTGGAGTAGACTGTATTTATGGTAAAATGTATTGTATTCATTTTCCCTTGCTTGAAGGCTATACTTGAGACTATTCCCGATATACCAGTTCATGCCAATGGATCACCGGATTGTGGACAGTCAGTTGAGAATGCAGTGAGTGGTGAGTGGCATAGACTCCTATTGAACTTAAGCTGTGTCTTCTTGCTCTTGTTCTGACACTCAATAGTTAGCAGTGAATTTCTAGAAGCAAAATGTGTGTTTTTCTCCCCATTATGATTCTTTGGCTTCCAGCACTCACTCTTCCAAACCACCTCCAAACACCCCATTCTGTCACTCAAGATGAAATTAATTGAGCCAAATTGGAAGCAGAATCTTTTCTGCCTTCACTACTACCACATCATTTAGAAACTTCTCACTTGGGTAGTGACTTTGATTTGAAGGCTCTTTCACGAGTAATCTGGGTCTGCTCAACAGTTGCAAGGAGGTCAAGAATCCCTAATTACTGTTCAAGTGTGGGCAGCCCTGGAGCAGCCTGTGATGTACATGGTTGCATGGTTTGATTTTACCTGGGTATCTTCCACTTGAGAGTTGGGTTCCTTTAATGGGATCAGTATGGAATCTCAAATCCTCCTTGAAGGAAATAGGCCCCTTCAGGCCATACTTTTGTGATTCCTCCAAGTTTTTCCAAAATATGTGCACTTATCTTGTAAACAACTGAGCCCATACTTTCAGCATTAGCTTCAAAAATCAAAGAAGTTGATATTTTGAAAATGTTCTAAAATTGATTGTGCTGATGGTTGCACAGCTCTGTGCATATACTAAAAACCAATGACTTATACACTTTTAAGTGTGTGAATTGTACAGTGTGTGAATTCTCTCTCAGTAAAGCTGATACTAAAAAAAAAAATCAAAGAGAGAGGATTTGCCAGAGATTATTCCAAATCATTCTATTTGCTGCCATACTGTAATTTAGTTCAAATCATGCTACTAAAAGATAGGAGTCTACATGGAGTGGTCCCATGGTTTGGAGTATTGGCCTGTGTCATCACTGATCTCCAAAGAATCTGTCCATAGACCTTAAGAAGTTAGAGCACGGTGTCAGAGTTTATCTTCCTCTGTTTTGAATGAAAGCTTCTGTATGATGAGTGAAAATCATAACTCACTCTGCCATTTTCTGAGTTTTGCTGCATCTATTTATTGTATTTTCAATAAGTATTACTATTCAGAATTTTTAAATCTGTTGACTTAAAAATTTCTCCACCTAACTTTTAATATATAATTAATTATGTCTTCTATTAATTCTGCCTTTTGTTTCTTTGTTCTCTTTGGTTGTCCTCTAGTCAGTGTCTACAGAAGAGGGTGAAGAGAATGAATCAAATGATTCTGTACTTTGCGTGGAAACAATTTTGCCAAGCAATGAAACAAGATAACCAACCATAATATTAGAAATTGGAGTTTAGTTAGCATTGCTCATATTGATTTATGGATTCACTTGTTTTTGGTTGAGGAATCTTTTGTTTTAATTTCAGGCTACCTTGAAAAAAGCATTTAGATGGGGCATTGCTTGTAACCCAGTCAGATTTTTCTTTATGTATCTTATACAAGGTTAGGTAACCAATATCAAATTACAGAAAGTCAGATTAATTCCCCTAAACAAACCTACCAATGAAATTCAAATTGTATTTGAGCAAATCTTACGAGGCAGATATTTCACCCCAATAATAATAACATTGGGTCCAGGTGGGCTTTTGATATCATAAGAATATGTAGAAATACCTTATTTTTGGACTCTTCTCTAATAATCTTCTCTAATAACCTTCATGAGACATAAAAATCTAGAATTTAGAAAATCAGATTAAATAGAAAGTTTGTTTGGAAAATGATGATAAACATTTGTTCATCTGGGAGTCTACTGACACCAAATTATTGTTTAGCTGAACTCCTCTGGGTGAGTCTGATGCTTATTCTTGGATGTAAACATTCTAACATGCTTGTGGATTAACTTGTAAACATTTTGTGCTTATTTTACAGTAAATAGTATTGCTTAATTAAATGGCCTGTTAAATATTCTGTATCCTTTGTTATTTTAGATGATGATTATCTGGAAAAGAACATTTCACCAGAGGCTGAAGAGCTTTCGTTTGAGGTATCTTATTCAGAAATGGTTACAGAGGCTCCAAAAAGAAATAAACTTAAGAAGTCAGAGATAAAGAAAGAAGAATATGCTTTAACTGTAAGTGAAACTTTTTGGGGTTATTCCAGGAACTGTGACTTCTCCATGGGACAAAACTAGGATTTTTTAAATTAAAATATCTCTGCGTGTGTGCGTGTATACCAAGGGTTGGGGATGCTGGGCACCAGTGCTGTGTACCACCGTTTGGAGTGTTATTTGGGGCACCATTTGTTGTGCAGTGCACAGCCTGCCTTGCTGTACTGGCAGCCCTGGGTCAGGAAAAGTTATTCAGTGCTTGAATACTGTTCTACAGATGAAATGGGATTTTCACCTGGCTTGTGAGCGTTCTTGCAATTTATATCCTTACTTCACTTAGAAGTCAGTGCAGACCCTACCTATATGTACTTGTGCCTCTATAAGCCACATATCAGAAAGAGGTACTATAGAAAGTCACAGTCATAACAATAAGAAGTGTCATAGGATAGGCACTTAAAAACGCATCAAAACCAATTCAAGAATGTACACTATTACAGGGAGTGCAAATGGATCTATATGCTTTGTTATCCTGAAATCCTCATTATATATGTCCAGGATATTATATCCTGAAAGCCTAATATAGAACTATGTTGCATCGATCTGTTTGCTATTCAGTAAATGCACGTGTGAAGAGTTCATGATGTGGAATCCCAAATCTTCTGTGTGGATCAGGGCTGTAGGCATGATGAGCAGGGCTCAGGCAGTTGCAGAGCTAAAGGAATGGGTCATCTCAAAACAGACAAACTCTTTGCACCAGGTGACCTGGACCATTCCCAGACAACCACCCCATGATGGAGGAGAGGAAGGGTACAGGGAAGAGCTCTAAGACTCACCCAGTGCCTTGTATGGGTCTGACACTCCACCAGGTGTTCTAGTTTTAAGGTGGAACCCTAGTGATTACTCTCGTTTTATAGCTGATGAAACTGAGGCCCAGAGAGGCTAAATAACATGCCTAAAGCCCCAAAGCTAGTAGGAAAGAGGCAAAAACGATTTAAACCTAAGAGCATCTAACTCCAAAACCCTTCCTGGTCCCTAAGCAGGCCCCAGGTTGGAAGGTAAAGTGGTGTTCTAGGACAAAGAGGGAAGCCAGTAGAACTGTGGTTTCTGGAGGAGCTCCACCTTATTTTTAGAGAGAGTCATCCAAGAAGGACACTGGCCTCAGGTCTCCTGAACAAACCTCCTGAGGCTTGGCTCCCCTGGGTGCAGGTCAGCCTCCCATGAAGAACTTCTCATAGGGTTTAGCACACAGCAATTGCTCTATGAATAGTGGCAGATTGGTTTATATTGTTGTTATATGTTACTGTTACATGTGGCCTTGGTCTCAGAGAGAAGGTGAAATAACTAAACATTTCATAGCACAAGGTATGCCCCAAATCACATCCTACATTTGTTGTTTAACTCTTAAATTCTCATGGTTCCAAGGAACAATTGTTGAATAAATGGATCGATGCAGTAACCCTCAAATGGTAGAGGGTTTAAAACCTCCACAGGGAAGCTCCAGTGTAGAGAGCCCCAGTAGACGATGTGTATTTTACACAACTGTAATTTACACGACTGTAGGATTTTTCTACTTTAGCATTTTTTTCAACACCAGGTTTTCTGAGAGGAAAGTGTACCTGTGGATATTATACTCGTACAGAAACAATCTCGCTTTCACCATAGACCTGGCCGCTTAGATTCTTCACTGTATTTCTGGATTGTTGAAAGATTTGTTGTTGTCATTGCTTTAGTGTATTCTGTTTCTTACTGTGGAAATGGAGAATATAACAGTATCATTGTCTTCAAAATGATAGTAGAATTATTGGCACTTTCTGTACACTTTGCTTATTAATGAACTTGGAATTACCTAAATTTGATTTTTAAGGTAGAATAACTAGTTTCAGCAAGCATGGGTAATGAGTTTAAATTGGGGAATTACTGAGAGTCTTTTAAATTACGCAGTGCAGGGCCGGCCCAGTGGCGCACTGCTACAGTGCACCGCTTGGGAGCGCGGCGGCGCTCCCGCCGAGGGTTCGGATCCCACGTACAAACCGGCCGCTCACTGGCTGAGCAAGGTGCGGGCGTAACACCGAGGGCTGCGATCCCGTTGCCGGTCCCGGTCCGGTAAGGGCGCGACACTGAGGGTTGCGATCCGTTGCCGGTCACGAAAAAAAGACAAAAAGGAAAAAAAAAAATAAATTACGCAGTGCAGAATAGATGAAGCCTGATTTAAGGATTGACTGTCCAAGAAAAAAAAGATATGTCTAAAGCTCTCTTGGGATGTTGCCTTGTTTGTGGGTGTCATGTGTAATCCAGGTTAAGGACCCACGGTATGTACATTCCGTGGGGAGCCTGGCACATATGTTGCTTGACAGTATAGGATGTTCCTTATAAGAAGGTAGTTTCCGCAGTTGTGGTGGAAATGTTATTGTATGCTTCAGACTCCTGTTTTGCATCTAATTAGCATAGTAGTGATATGCAAATGTTCTAAAAAATATATTCATAATATTTCTGTGACATAGCATGCTCCTTAGAGATTTTCTTGCAAATAGCATGTTTTGGTGTATAGATTTAGAGTATCCAGGTGGCATTTGAATGAAGTAGAATAATTTTCCTTTGCCATAAAAAATAAATATCTTCACTACATATTTTAGAAATTTATTGTTCAGAAAACTAGATTTGGCTTAACTGAAGCAGGAGACCTCTCTGCTGAAGACATGAAGAAAATCCGCCATCTGTCTCTGATTGAATTGACAGCCTTTTTTGATGCCTTTGGAATACAACTGAAAAGAAACAAAACGGAGAAAGTAAAAGGACGAGGTAATTAAGAAGACTGATTGCTTGTGGTTTTAACACTTTCACACACTGGAGCAGGAGAGTGCTTTTCTGATCCTTTTTTCTTTCTTCCTTGACTGTTTTACAATGAAGACAATGGAATTTTTGGAGTTCCCCTTACAGTCCTCCTGGACAATGACCGAAAGAAAGACCCTGGAGTGAAAGTTCCCCTTGTATTACAAAAGGTGAGCAGAGTGCAGATGAATGAGGAGTTCATACGGCCTCGTGCTAGTGATTTGCTGCTTGGTCAGCCCACTAATGAATTTTCTCTTAGACTTAAAGACAGTAAAGCCCCATTAGGACCCAGGCTCTGGGTGATTTTCAGCTTTAGTCCCTGCGTCCTCACAGTGGCCCAGGAGCCTGGAACCTGCTGCTCTGCTGCAAACTGCTGAGCCTGTTCATTGTTTGACCATAAAGTACCGGGTGAAGGGGCTGCGCCTCTGTCTCATCTCTGTCACGTGGCTGCCTTTGGTTGTACTTTTTTCCAATTTTTTTTTTCAAATGTTATTTTTGTGTATGTATGTGTTTGTGTGTGTATTTAGTTATTCTGTCTGGATAAGGATGACCATTAACATGTATTACCAGTACATTTACAGATCATACAAGTATTTGCTCAGATATATCATAGGCTAGGGTTTTTTTTGTTTTGTTTTTTTTTGGGTTTTTTTTGTCTTTTGTCTTTTTCTGTGTCCGGCAACGGATCGCAACCCTGAGTGTTGCCCCCGTACCGGGCCGGGGACCGGCAACGGGATTTCAACCCTCGAACCCTCGGGCGGGAGTGCTGCCGCGCTTCCCAAGCGGCGCACTTATCCAGTGCGCCACCGGGCCGGCCCTGGCTACGGTTTTTTTTTTTAATGTATATGTGTAATCATTTTATGAATTTTTCAAACAAAGGTTTTTATAAAGTCTGAAAATCAGCTTGTTCTGGTGGATTTTCAGGTTTGACTGGGCATTTAGATACAAAAAATTTGGTGGAAGGGAGTTTTGGAAATGATATTATCTGCACAATCAAATGTGAATGTCTCAGTGACTATTGTTGCTGAATAGCTGATTTGCGTTTAAATCATGTTTTTTATTGCCAATAATTTACACTGGCTTACTTAAGTATGCATTTATTCAACAGCGACATCCATTGGCACAATTAAAATTCCAAGCCTTTCACAAAGATCATGTTGAATTTTAAAGTGGGTTTTTAGGTGATATATAAAAATATTGACTGAGGAAACGTCTACTTACTTTATTCCTACTAAATTCTGCATCTCTGTTCGATCTTCCTGTATTGTGCTGCCAGTTCCTCAAATTGAGCTACTCCTCAAATCAGGTGACTGATTGGCTGGTAATGGGAGCAGGGAGGGTGGCAACCAAGTGGCCAGAGGGTACTGGGGACACCTCTGTGCACACAGGTCGTTTGTGTCCCTCCCCTGTCCCCTGGCAGGGCTGTGCCAATGCTGTCCACATAATATCATGTCTAATCAGCATGCAGTAGCCCAAGGAGGTTGGTGTTGTGTCCATTTTACTGATGAGGCAACTGAGGCATAAGAGAGGGTAAGATAACTTACCCGAAAACACACAGCAGCAGGAGGTGGAGCCGGAGAAGGAACACAGCACGTATCCACACCCAAAGTCCAGGGTGACGCTAGGATTTTCTTTCCTTCTGTGAATTAAAGCCAGACTTATATCCTTTGTCCTCCATGCAGAGTTTGAAGGAAATCCGTAAAAATCGAAGACAGAAGATTCAACACATAGGCTGTTATCATGCAGTTACAAAAACCTAGCACAGAACTTAGCAAATGGAAGTAAATGGAAGGTGCTCCATAAATGATAGTTAAAGTAAATCTGGATTTATGTTATATTAGCAACACAATAATGTTAGCTATTATTGCTACGGATGTTTAGAGTTCCTGTTTTACAACCGATTGAGGTAGGACTCTTTCACTCGTGTGGGAGAGTCTTTTCTTATGGATGTATTTCTTCTTCCTAGATATCCATTTCTTCCATACCTAAAAGAATACTTTAGTTCCAGGCACCATCAGTTCTTGAATGGAAAATAGCAGAGTTGCTGGATCTTCCTCTTACTGTGAGAACTTGGGCAAGTGATTTATTCTTTCCATGCCTCAGTCTCCTCTGCAGTACAGTGGGGTTAATAGTAGTATTAACCCCACTTGTAAGATCATTGTGAGGATGAAGTGACTTAATACATGTAAAGCACTGAGAATATAGGTTTCTGACGTACAACAAATTTCACAATAAATGGTAGTGTTTATTATGCTGATGATTATTTTTAACATCCACTACCACCATCCACTTCACCACCAGGAGAACTCAGGAGAGTTATTAACCTTTACAATCTCTAACTGCTTGGTCAAACTTCTAGAATTCCTATAGTTTCTGAGCCAGGGTGGTTACAACTAATGATAGCAGATTTAGAATCTTTTCTTACTGATCAATCTGCAGAAAGAGATATAGAGTCAGATTTTAAAATGGGTAAGTGGTAGCATATCACCGTGGTTAGGAGCACAAGCCTGAGAGTCTGTGCCTTACTTATGAATGAGGCTGATCTTGGGAAATTTATACAACAGCTCCAAATCTCCATTTTCTCGTTGGCAAGTTTAGAGGATAATGTTGACCTCATAGGATGGTGGAGAATGTTTAACAAGTGTTCGAGCACAAGGAACATATACACGCTGGTAATCTATTCATTGCCGTCATCATCATCATTATGTCGGATGTTTGTAATCATACAGAAGTACTCATTTTTGTAATATATCATTGCTTTCTAGTTTTTTGCGAAAGTTGAGGAGTCAGGTCTGGAATCTGAAGGAATTTTTCGCCTTTCGGGATGTACTGCCAAAGTCAAGGTATCGAGCATTTTCTCTCTTCCTAGTTAAAGGTCTAAGCTAGCTAGACCCAGTTCACAGGAGCAGCAGCACCTAGCTCTTGGTCGATGTTGTTTATTTGATGCTATCACTTGGCCCTGCCTAATATTCCTCAGTACCTGTGACTAAATGTTTATTGCATGATCCAGAGTTGTATTCCTTATAAATGAAAACAACAAAAAGCCAACAGCAATGAAAGGACACGTCACTTTCCCGTCAAGCACTGCTGCTTGCCTTTAGTTTGGAAAAGTTGCAGTGTCCCTTCGCGGTTTTGGTGTTAAAGACTGTATTTGTTGTGTTCCTCTCAGTCATGGGATCGACTAAGCCAATATTACATAAGCCCTATTCCCATTATCAGTTGCTCTAAACATTCTTTGGCTCTCCTTATAGTGAAAGTTCTTATAAGTACTTGTAGCGATGGCCCTAACCACTGGGATACTCACTCAGCAGTTCTAAAACCCAGTTCCATTTACGGTAATGTCAGTGTTCACATATAAAACCACAGTGCACTGTGAATTCTCTTACTTTGCTTTCTTACTTTTATAAGGTGGCAAACTTTACAGACAATAAAGGAAAGAAATATTAGAAAAGAAAAGCTTTTCTTGTAAATCCCTAGTAAAGTAGCCCACTGCGTCTCCTGCTGGGCATCCACAAAGAAGGGTTCATCCTGCCGTTGGATCACTCTCTGGCTGTGGACATTCAAACCTGAGCAGTTTTAAAAGATGCATCCCTGAGAAAAACAACTCAGGGCGGGGGGAAAATGAACTTGGTTGCGTTTAGAACTATGAAAAGGAAATGCATGGATGGGGAAAAGCATCTCTTCATTAATTCATCGTGGTACGTGTTTTGGGAAATTCTATTTGTATCAGAAGTCTCAGGTTTTTATATAGAAGTGTGACAAGATGTTTTTCTGAGTGGAAACAGAATAAATAAGCTGTGTCTGTTGGAGCCTCCAGAAGCAGATGCTGAGATGGATTAGGAGTGGAAGAGGGTTATTGGGGGGCAGCGCTTCTGAAAGATAAAAGGGGTGGAAGCAAGACTGGGCAAAGGGAGCCGCAGGCCGCTATGCAGGTCAGACCATTCCTGCCTGTGGAGGAGCCGGGCACGGGGCAGAGGGGCCGGGCCCTGGACCCCCCCACACCCCCTGCACTCGGTCATGGCAGAGGCTGATGCAGAAGGGGCAGCCGCTGGGGAGAGTCAGCTGCCTGGACTTCTTGCAGATGCATGGTGTGTCTCCTCCAAAGGGAGGTCTGAGCACTGTGCCAGGCATTACCAGTGGCATCAAAGATCAGGGCATGTTGGGGCTTTGTGACTTCCCTGAGTGGAGGTAGCTAAATACTGGCACAAATTCATTCAGAAGACAGGAACATTCCTAATGGCTCCTGAGGGTTTATACTTTCTAAATTGAATCAGCTTTTTGTCTCAGTTTGTCCTACATTTGGTTCTTATATGTACTTCTGAACAAATGCATCCTAAATCTGAGGATGGAAACTAACTATCACTAGTTTGGGTTAAATTTTTGGTTATATCAGTAGAGTCAGAGAACAAAAATGAAGTTGAAGAAATGAATTTCCTGAACAGAATCAGACACCCATCTCTCTAAACCTCCCTCCATTCTTGGGAAGCTGTACTTGCACATATGCTTACTGGGTATTCTCTGTGTGTGTGTGTCTGTCTGTCTGCATGCATGCATCTGTGTACGTGTGTGGTTGTGTGAAAAGCATATGGATATGATTTAAATTCTTCTAAATAATCAAAAGGAGAAAACATTAGAGGGCACTTTTTGTGTGCACAAAGTCACTTTAACTATCACGGCTGCAGTTACTTTTCTTTAGCTAATCTTTGACAGGAAACTGCTTATCAAAGGCTGGTGATTCCTTCACAGTGCTCTTACAGACACAGGCATTCCTGGGGCACAGCTGGGTCAGTCCCTTTTCTCCCCTAATTGGTTTTATATAGTTACAGCCTATTTATTCCATCATTTGTTAGTACGAAAAATATAATCCAGATGTTTTCATAGTTTATGCTCCAGGAAAGCCAATGTGAGAGAAATCCGGGCCAGTGAACAGAAACGGAAATGCTGCACTTAAGGAGGCATTATATGAAAGCGGCCTTTATTCCTATCCTTTATTCAAGCTTTAAGCTACCTTCTTTTATTTTATATTTGTAATTTCATTTGCTGGACTGCTTTTCCTAGAAACGTGCTTGGGGAAAGACATTTTTTTAAAAACTCCATTATAATTACCCTCAGATTGTGCCAAGTACATGATACCAACACCATGGCTCCACTAATGCATCATTACTATGAACACTGCAGCCTGGCTTTGTGCTGCAGACGCCTGGAAGGACTGACAGGGGAGCAGCCCTGAGAGGAAGCTGCCTGCTTTAGCCAAACAGGGAACACACAATTGCAAAGCCAATTCCCATAGCTGAGGCCTCAGATCGTTTGGAACCAATTTAATGCTTTGGTGTTTCCAAAAATTTTCTTCTAAAAAATGACAGAAACTTGAGCCAGACACTGGGGAATATATTTTATGGAAGGAATGACATGCAAGGTTTTCTTTTCTGACTAGTTTCAACTGTTCTGAGGCAGCTCTAAGCGTTTTATAATTATGTTACCTGGTTTGTTGGTTTCCCTTCCTGAACGCGTTGTGGTCATTTGCATTTTTATAAAACTACCTGAGAGATTGAAGCAGGTGGCATTTTTGCTCAAAGATTTAAGGATATGGCTTCTGGCCCCTGCCTAGCGTTCTCATGAATGGCAGACAGAAAACATGACTTCTTTAACCTCTGGTGTTCCCTGTCTTTGGCAAGGTCTGGTCATACGTGGTTTGTGTGCTTTCATGTTTTGTACCACTGCTGAAATGTCAGCGCCGCTCACACCCTCCACAACTGCTCTGGTCCAAACCCAAAGAGGATGTTTTTTATCTTGGTGTTGTTTTATACCAGCCATCCAGACAAGATGACATGGTATTACTACCCAAATAGTCACACCACATAGCATGGGCCTCCCATGGTGGTGACACTGAGGGTTAGATTAGAACTGGGAGGAGGTGGTAGGCACTGTCTGTGTGGCAGGCCCTGCCCTGTGAGCTTTATGTAATATTTAATCTCAGGGAGGTCATTTCAGTATCCCTGTTGTGTAGTAAGAAGCTGGCAGCACAGACCATATAACTCGTCAGTTGTGGAGTTGGGATAAAGACTAAAGGAACTAGTTATGATGCCTGCCCTTGGCCCTGGTGCCATGCTGCACCTTAGGTGACTGGGAACCATTCACAGGTTGGAAGGATGGTCACATTTGTGTTTCAGATAAATTCCCTTGGCAGAGGTATGTGGGAAATGAATTTGAATTCTTCTGCTTGAGCTGGTGCTTCCTGCCCACTTGAAAAAAAGTTTCCCCTCTGCTTGGTGGCAGTGGTACCAGGCAATTGATGGAAAACGTTTGCTCCTCCTCCTTTATTTCCTATTAACACCTCCACTTCCACTTGCCCGTTACAGTCAGAGAATCATCTTGGATGATTATTTCTCCCTCTGGGTTTCATGTTTAATCTATTACAGATTCTTGAGAATTTTCCCTCCTAGACGTTTCTTCAGTGCCCCCTCCTATTTCTATCCTTCAACTGCATATCCAGATTAGTTGTTGGTTGATCCATCACCAAATATGGTGCCATGGCTGGATAATTGGGTTCCTTGCCTCTAACCTGCTCCAGACCTGCACCAAACTCCACATTCTCCCAAACCATTCTTCCTTTTGGCTCTCAGAAAAGATAAGGGCGACCTTGTCATTTCCTTCTTAGAGATGTTCCAGGTTGCCTCATTGCCCACAGAATGAGGTCCGGGCCCCTTCTGGCTCAGCCTCGTCCTTGCTGGTGATGTTCCAGCAACACTGAGCTAACCGGAGATCCCCAGATACACTGGGCCTCCTGCACTTACATCAGTGCTTGAGCAGTTTCTTCTGAGCAGGAGACCCTTCCATTTCCTCTTCCCAGCAAGCCCCTCAGCAGTGCTCAAGTCTTGGCCCATGGAGAGTTTGATCCCCCTTTTGTGGCTGCATAGCACCAATGCGTGACCTTTCTTTTAGCATCTGAACTTTGAATTCTATTATCAATTCATGAAATGGTCCCATCCACTAGACTGCAAGACGCCTAAGGGCAAAGAATGGGTCTCACGCATCCTCTTCTTTTCAGAGTCTGGTCTAGTGCTCTCTCCTTTTTATTCTAGGAAGAACTTGATGTGTATGCTTCAGGCTTTATAAAGTGTATTTATCAGCAAACGATTGCTTGATTAGCTTTTGTATTGCTGTAAGACTGAAAAGCTTCTCCAGGACGAGAAGAAAATCCCCTTTGATGTCATCAGTAGGAGCTAGAGGGTGGATCGGAATCACATGTATGTCTGTAAGAAACTTGTGCTGCCAGGGATCTCTGTTTTCTAGACTCTGGGAGCCATGAGAGCATTTACGTCTGGCTGGTTCATGAGCTGATCCTTGGTAGGAAAAGGTCAGATGTGCAAACTGACCCTGGCCGTGCATGTTCAAAGCCAGAAGAATAGAGCAGGGGCCTTAAATAAAGTGAGGGTTTTCAGAGTTACCTTTCTAAGTATCCTTTTTGGAGCAATTAGTGTCAGTTGGGGGACTGATTATAACTGCCTGGAATTATAGGTAAACCCTGTGAATAGAGCAGGGGCCTTAAATAAAGTGAGGGTTTTCAGAGTTACCTTTCTAAGTATCCTTTCTGGAGCAATTAGTGTCAGTTGGGGGACTGATTATAACTGCCTGGAATTATAGGTAAACCCTGCAGTTCAAGGAGCAGTAGAAAATGAGTTTGACTTTGAAAAAGAAACATGGAGAGTGTGTGGCATTGATAATCAGATGAACTAACAATGTAAAATTTGTAAGCCAAGGAGAACTTATAGAGGCTTAGTGATTTTTTAGAAGAATTTGCACAGGGTTCCAAACCTTACACAGAATTGGGCAAGCCTGCAAACGTATGGAAGACATGTGTATGTCTTGGCATAAAACTTTGCTGTAACTGCTCCAGGAAGATGTCATTGGTTTGCATGTTGCAGCGAGGTCAGAGTTACTTTATCGGGATATTTCTCATTCAATATGTGAACTAGCTGAGAGGCAAATATTCTTGATCTAATTTAGAAATAGAAGAGGGAATGGCAGAAAGGGAATGGTGGTTTTGTGAAAATCTAGCAGTGCATTTATCATGTGGGAATAGTGGTATTCTGCCAAAAACACAGGAACGAAACAATGGTCTGAGTAGAGAACTTTTACATTTGTGTAGAATTAGAAAATTATTTCAAGATTAACATTATTCTGAAATATTTTAGAAATCCATTTTTAAAAATTTGTTCACAAGTTGCTATTTCAATTCTCTTAATCATGTTGGAAAAAAGTTACGCTTAGTAGATACAGCCTTTTCAATCTATTTACAAAAATCAGTTATGTAATGACAGTTTTCAAAAGGGAAAAAAAGGGTCAGGTGACAAAACTCATTGAATACTGACTGTTTTCCTTGATTTGCAGCAATACCGTGAAGAATTGGATGCCAAGTTTAATGCTGATAAATTTAAATGGGACAAAATGTGCCATAGAGAAGCTGCAGTAATGTTGAAAGCATTTTTCAGAGAACTACCCACCTCTCTCTTCCCTGTGGAATATATACCTGCCTTCATCTCACTACTGGAAAGTAGGTGGAAGAAGTTAAATGTGAATGGACTAAGATACAAGGTCAATAAAGTCACAGTGCAGAAGAGAGATACATAATCAAATGTGACCATAAATGTATAGATTTGCTATTTCCTGACGATGCTTGGTGAAATATTAACTTTGTTGGTAAACAGTCACCTATTTACCTATGCATATATTCATGTCTGGTAGATATGATTTTGGGTTTTATAATCATTAAAAGGCAGAGGGATTTGTGGAAAGACCATGCTCTTGAGAGTTGAATTCGTGCACAACCATCGTTAGCCCTGCAATCACTTTCTGAGCTTCAGTTGCTGCACCTGTAAATTACAGATAATAATTACTTGTCATGGTTCCTGTGGGTATTGAATGAAGTCATCTAGAATAGTGCCTGCTTTATAATAGCACATCAAAAAATATGAGTTTCCTCCCTTCCTGAAATCTGAGGTCCTGAGTCTGATGATGCAGCATGTAATAAATGCTGTACCGAAGATATTTTACTGCTGAAAATTACAAAGTCACATAGACTAGGTCTTATGTGAGACACTTGGGTAAAAACACAGAAACTAGAAAGTGTATTGTATTTGGCAGTTAGGAAATAATTTGGCATGGTTTGAGCATAAGGGTTGAATATTAGAGGATGTGACAGAGAAAAATTAAGAAAAGTTGAATGGGGATAGATAATGGGGGCTTTTACCACTAACCTGGGGAACTCAGGGGTCAGAAGCCTAAATACACACAGGCATATTAAGTAAATGGTTAAGAAAGGGGCTGTGGCCAAATTGTGAGGACAGGAGGACACACTGCATCTAAAGACATTGACCACTGCTCAGCTCTAGGACGCTGTTGCAAGGCAGGACTGAGAGCCAAATCCAAGCTTTAATGGGAGAATCCTTCATTGGAAAGCGTCAGCCACAAATTCAAATTTTAAAAGGCTGTGTGAGCTTAACAAGTGATATCTGTATCAGCAGATTTCCAACCTTCTGCAGGTCGACCAGAACTATAAAATCATTTAAACCACAACGAAAGAAGAAAATAGACCCTAAATCCAAAGTTGTATGAAAAAAATTGTCCTAAAAATTAGTAGATTCCAAATCTTAAAAATTTTTAACTAAACCAGATTTATAAAATAATCCTTTATGTCTTCAAAGAGGAGAATGTGATAAGTGAAGCAGTCCTTTTCTAACCTTTAATTCTCATGCTGTCTCTGATCAGTATCTCTTTACTCTGTGAGATTTAGTGTTTTTCTTTTATGAGAGAAACTTGCCAAGAGGAGAGAAGAGCTAGTTCTCAATTTCATTTTTTTAATTCTCATGCTGTCTCTGATCAGTATCTCTTTACTCTGTGAGATTTAGTGTTTTTCTTTCATGAGAGAAACTTGCCAAGAGGAGAGAAGAGCTAGTTCTCAATTTCATTTTTTCTTATTTCAGATGTTGCATTTTTTTTCGGTTCTAGAATTTCCACGTGGCGCTTTTTAAATATTTTCTGTTTATCTGCTGAGATGTCCTATCCTTTTATTCATCGTCAGCATATTTTCCTGTGTGTCACTGAGCATAGTTATGGTAGCTGCTTCAGAATCTTTGTCTGCTAGTTCCAGCATCTTGGTCCTGTCAGGGTTGGTCTCTGTCTTCTGCTCTGAGAATGGGTCACACTTTTCGGTTACTTTGTATGTCAAGTAGTTTAAATTCTATTCTGAACATGTATATTGTATTTGGAGACCCTGTGTTCTGTAATATTTCTCAAAAGAGTCTTGTTGGGTTTCTTTTATTGTTGCTATTTTAAGCAGGCCATTTGCTTGGCTGGACTCAAATTACTAGTATCTTTTTTGGACAGCAGCTCCACTCTCAGTTCAGTTATTTAATCCTTCGCTGTGCTACCCCACACGTGCATGGTTCATGGGTCAGCCAGAGATTTGGGTGGAGTCAATACCAGAATTAGGGCCTTTCATCTCTGGATCTCTCCTTTCTGGGATTCCCCCAAAACTTCCCAGTGGCTGTGCTTGCCTTGAACCCTGTCCTCTGGTTGTTTAGGCCAGAAAGACTAGGGTTTTCTTTTTGAGTTCTATCCACCCTATGCAGCACTGTGGCCTGACCTCAGACTGAAAGCCAGAAGAACGGAACACTGTCCCTGTGCCACTTCCTAGTTCCAAACGTCTGATCCTGTCCGGAATCTGCCTGCTTTTATCTACTCTCTACTGCCTTGGGTGGCTGTGTTTTGTACTTTATCCAGAGGTGGTGGTTATCTTCGGGACAGTTGATCTGGTAGGAGTTTACTCAGCCATACAAAAAGCAAATTCCCTGAGGTTTTGCTCTCCTGGAAAATGGGCTGCAGAATCATTAGTTTCCCTTTGTTTTGTGGTTTGTATGCTAAACATTTCATCAAAACACACGCTGCCACAGAGGTTTGGTTTGTTTAGTTTTGTTTTTTATATTATGACTTATGCAAGGAGGATTCAAACTTCCAATGCCAGACTTGTTCAGAAAATCACATTTAAGAAAGGTGTGCAAAAAAACTGGTTTTCGTACTATCATTGCTCCCTCTCTGCCTGCAGCCAGTACACTTCACGGAAGGGAGAGAATCTGAAAAATGTCCTGAGAGGGTTCACAGAGGAGTCCACATTTCTTTGTATGAAAGTGAAACATACTATATTGTAGGTGGTTGATTTGATACCAGCCATCCCTGCAGGAAGCCCAAAGTTCCGGCCTGCTGCCAGCAGGAAGAATGGCCTTTTAGCCACCTAAAGTAAGCTCCAGTTGTAACAAGATTTTCTGAAGGGGAGGATTGTGACCATGTGCATGACAGTGATTAACCTGTTCCTCTTGATGCTCTACAGTGGAGCTCAGGAGGAAAATATGCTATGAAGCACATTCCAATTGATAACACTAGAATATGGACAACCGATTAGATAAAAGCATTGTAACATGTTAAATCTAGTGAAGCTGGTAACTCTACTGTGGTTATGAAAGAGAATGTCATTTTTAGGAAATGGAAGCTGAAGTATTTAGGGTTAGAGGGCATGATATATAGAACTCATTCTCCAGTGTTTTAGAGATAATATATATGTATATGTATGTGTAATGTATACATACATACATATATGCACATATATAGAGATTGATAAAGCAAATGGGTAAAATGTTAACATTCAGTGAATATGAATAATGTGTGGAAATAATCCTGCATGATTCTACTTATATGAGGAATCTAGAATAATCAAACAGAATCAGAGAGTAGAATGGTGGTGACCAAGGGCTGGGGGCGGGGAGGGGAAAGTAGGAAGTCGCCAGTCAACAGGCATAAAGTTTCAATTATGCAGGATGAATGAGAGGCTTTCTGTGCAGCACTGGGTGTATAGTTAACAGCACGGTGTTGTGCACTTAAAAATTGGCTAAGATAGTAGGTCTCATATAAAATGGTCTTACCATGATTTAAAAAATGGGTAAAAATATAAAAATAAAAATGGATCTTAGATGGGCCGGCCCGGTGGCGCACTGCTACAGTACGCCACTTGGGAGTGCGGCTGCGCTTCCACCAAGGGTTCGGATCCCACATACAGACCGGCCGCTCACTGGCTGAGCGAGG